CAGTACATGTTCTAAAATGTATTTAAAATGAAATAACATTCATCACCTCTACCACAATCACCGTCATCAGTAATATTCTTTATCTTTGTTCCTCGTCTTTAAGAACACTCTTGTCTAATTGAATTGTACAACTTTCATTTTGTCTATTGTTAACTCTGGGTGATTTCAGTGTATTTTTATGCCCAGTTTACGAAAATTTTCTTTTGAAAAACCATATTTATCCTGCATTTCAAAAATATGAAAATATGTAACGTGGCACAGTGATTGAGCCTGGAGAGTGGCAGACGTGCAGCTGCTGGATGTCTCTCAGTCACTGCTCAGGAGAATATCAATTTACACTCACCCACTCTTCATCTGGGACTTACGGCGGCATATTCTACATTGTCCTTGCGCTTACTTAACGGCAATGCCATAAGGACGTAGGGAAGGGTTACAATTGGATCCGTATGTTACTATTCTCCAGACTAGACTGAGATGAGCAGACGGCTTCACTCTTCGCAGCTTCACCCTCGGAGAAAGAACCTCCTTGTACCCTTTGGTTAAATAGCTGAGTGGGTCCCTGCGGAGTAGAAAAGTATCCGGCTCCTTCCAGAAATCGAACCCAGAATCCTCGGTAAGCTCGTCGATATGCCGAGTGTGCTATCTACTTTGATTAATTAAGAGTTTGCTAGCTCATTATTATCCACTTGGGGATTGGAAGGGACGGGCTTCTCTTCAGGCCGCGTTTGACGGGATAACAAAATTTGTAAACAAGGAACTAATCAGCAATGAAATATGGGTTAATTAATCCGAAAGTTTTCCACGTATAACACTCTTTATTTTTTTTCCTTGGCACTACAGCCCCAGTGGGCCTAGGCCTACCTCCATGAACTACGTTCACTTCGGTTTTTCTAGATCTTACATATTTGGTAGGACTTCTTGGGCGGGTGATCAGCTCGTCGCAAGGCCTCTACCTGTAGACAAACACAGAAAAACGCCACAAACATCCATTCCCTGAGTGGGATTCGAACCCACGATCTCGGCTTCCGAGGGAGCGAAAACAGTGAATGCCTTAGACCGCTCGGCTACCGTGACCGGCTATAACACTCTTTATTAAATTTATTGTTGCATTCAGTTCAATAATAATAATAATTCAATTCAATTCTTTATTATTTATGTGCCAAGTCAACAGCCGCAAGGCCAATTACAGACTTAGCACAGTGTAGATGAAAGTAATTACGTGTAACATTATACAGACATTAGACAAACACATTATAAGTCAAAAATAAATTACAGGCAATTTCTTGGGAAAACACAATAATGAAGAAAAGTAAACAAACAAGCAAATAAATGATAATAATAATAATNGTTGTCAGCCCTACGTGCCGGCGGCCCTTTATCCCCAGGAATATTCCTGGCACTCATTTCTGTTAGATGATGAGCCGAACCGAGGACCATAGTGCGGCTGGAAAAATTAGGTAAATTGAAAAGTCCACCTTATCGGAATTCGATCCTCCGACCTTCCGGCTTGTGGCATAGTGCCTCAACCAACTACGTTACCGCGTACCCCCCCGCAAATAATAATAATAATAATTCAATCCTTTATTATTTGTGTGTTGAATCAACAATTACAAGGCCAATTACAGACACAGTACAGTGTAGATACATTATGGACAAACACACCATAAAGTCAGAGACAAATTACAGGCAAGATACAGGAAGAAAAAACGCATCAATACAGAAGAGTAAACGAACGAAGATGAAGATAGATAAGAAGAACATGACAACTAAGAACTACAGTACATAACACAGAAGAGTTAGAATTATGAACAAATATTATTAACAATCTTAGGTCGATGGGCATAAATGTGATTGAGAGAAACGGCTACGGTTACAAATGTCGAGATCTTTACCCATCTCTTTGGCGGCAGCATAATAATAATAATAATAATAATAATAATAACAATAATAATAATAATAATANTGCAAACAGAATACAAAATGAGGTAATTTATATAGTAATAATAATAATAATAATAATAATAATATAATTGAATGAAAAATAATTTATCAATAATAATACAAATAATAAAATTAATAATAGTAATGACTGGATTCTTCAGTCAATATAGCAACGAGGTACGGGCTGGATGGTCCTGATTCGATTATAGGTACTGCAAGATTTTTCTTTTCTTCACAGTGTCCAAACCGGCTCTGGGGCCCACCCAGCCCCCTGTCCAATCATTACCGGTGGTTCTTGCCCCTGGAGTAAAGCCACAAGAGTGTGAAGCTGACTCTTCTGTTGCATCTGGTGCCGAGGTGAAGAAAGGTTGAGCTATACCTCCACCTCTTCATATGCCTTCATGGCATACTGCTTAACTAATTAAGCACAGGGGCAAATTTACTTTTAGTTGCTGAACTCGAAATCGCTGAATGTCCGGGGCTTCTTCCTACTGAGAAAGTTTATTTGAATTGGAAAACTCCAAGTTGTCTCTTGAAACTGATTATTGTGCCCGCTATTGAACTGACTTGAGAACAACAACAGCGATTACATTATTGTGCACTAATTTTCTTTCTTCTCCTTTATTGACAATCACATTGTACAATCTGTAAGTCAGTGTGCTGATTGGTGTACAATATAAGAGCTATTTATTGTGCACTCTTCACGGCGCGAGCGGAACAGTGGTGTTTTCCTCAGTTCCTTAATTCTGGTGGCCAAATTCTTTTGAGTCTCGGTTTTGGTGAGGTTTTAGTAGTGGTTGAAGAAGTGGGTTGGAGTGATTTCCTAGTTTGTCGAAGTACTTGGTGCTGTTATCTCGGATGACTTCTGTTACGTAAGGAGTTTTTAGATCTGTACATAGGGTGTGGTTGGATACATACCCTGGTGCGTTCGTGATGGATCGGAGTATTTTCGACTGGGCACGCTGTATAATGGCGATGTTGGATTTGCTGGCGCAGCCCCAGAGTTCTATGCCGTATGTCCATATAGGCTTGATGACTGTATTGTAGATTAGTAACTTGTTTTCGATGGAGAGGTGGGATTTTGTTCCCATGGGCCAGTTGAGTTCTTTAGTTTTTTGGTCCATCTGTTTTCTTTTCTTGATAATGTGTTGTCTCTAGTTTAGTTTGTTGTCAAAGGTTAATCCTAGATATTTGATCTGTTGTTTTGGTTGTATATTGATGTGATTTATTTGCACTGGCGGGCACGCGCCTTTTTGGGGAGTGAAACTTGTTTGTGTGGACTTTGATTCGTTTACCTTGATTTTCCATTTATTTAACCATGCTTCTATGAGGACTAGATGATCCTGTAGATGAGGGGAGGCTGTGGTTGGACTGTCGTGGGTAGTGAAGATGGCAGTATCATCTGCAAAAGTACCTATAATAATCGATTCTTTTGTGCACTAATAAATAAAGAAAACGACGCATGATATGTAGTTCCCATCATTCATCTTATCTCTCTTTTTAAAAATGAAGGCGATAATAGCTGTCACTCAGACTGGAATGTGGCACATTCGAATTCACCATTTGCCTGTGTTTCTGTAAACAAAACGGAAGTTCTTTGTGTTGCTGAATATGAACAGCATGTAGTTACATTGCTAGATTTGAAATCGTGCTTTTTGCTATTTCTCTCGAAATTTTTGACGAAAGAGAACCAGGTAAGTGTGTAACTCAGTCCTAATATTGTTATTTAAGTAACCTACTTATAGTAGCGGCCTCCGTAATCTAGGGGTAACGTTCCCACTTCATGACTCAAGGTACGCGGGTTCAAACCCGGCGGAGGTCGTGGAATTTTTAAGGGCGGAAAAATTCAGGGAACAAGTCTTCCGGGAGGAACTTTAAGCCGTGGGTCCCGGATCGTAGCTTTACGGCACGTAAAAGAACCTCATGTCTCAAGGAGACCTCTAAGCTAAATTGAAGAACATTTCCCGCCCAACAATAGTCTCTAACGCCTCTGGTAGATGGGGGAAGCATCTAGATACCGCTGAGCCACTAGAGGCCGAACTCGCTGGTTGGGTCGGGACTGATGGCACGCACCCGTACCGGTAGGGTATAGAGACCGGTAGAATATCACAGGGGGACGTACAATAGATCAAACTGGTCGCGGTGCATGGGGAAACCCACCCCCTCCAATAATAACCTACTTATAGTGCCACAGTTTTGGCCGTTAGCATAGGCTCTTCATCGTAAAGGCCCGGGTTAATTTCGAGTACAGCTTATATGAGATTTTGAGACGAAATTGGAAATGTGGCTGGCTTTTTTCTGAATACTTCGGTTCCCTTTCCCAATCATCACTTCACAATATGCCTACTAGAGGCAGCAGGCGAGCACGTAACACAAGCTCGATTCTTTGTTGGGACTTCTTCGAGCTGGTTCTGGACGCATGAGGAAAATTAATTTCTTTGGATTAAAGAGAAGGGAGAAACATAGCAATTCTATTCATCGGATATGTGACTAGTTTCTAAACATAGTTGGTTTCCTCTTTTGTCCATAATTGAGTTATTTTCACAAGAAAAATAGACAAAATATGAAGAGATAAATGTCATCCCTGTCTGTCACTAACTTGAAAAAGAGGTACTCTTATACCTTTAAAGAAGATTATCTGATATTGACGTTGTTTAAACCATATCCAATAAGACTGACAGTTTATCGGACGTAGCTGCAGCTAGCTGATGGTTTGGGAATAGTCACGGACAATATATAAAGGTAGTATTCTAATATTCGAGTAGAGAAACTGAGAACGCTCTAGAAACAGATAATATAACCAAATAATTCGGGGGAGATTCCAATTGAAAACCACCCACATGCTAGTCTAGCCTCCGAAGTGTGTATGACGTCATGTGCCGTCCATGAGACATGCATCCAACAGCATGCACCACGTCGTAAGCCGTTCAAGTCATGTATTAGACTGGGTCAGTTTGAAGGCAGTCACACAATGCGTTACGTTTGAGAACTTTGTAATTAGAAATTTGTTTCAGAGTATAATTAAATTGAATTGCGGCTTTCTGGTTCAATTGTTACAGATATGGTACATCTTGCAGCAGTCGAGTAAACTAAAGTGATAAGCGGTCAGTGGGAAAGCAATCCACGAGGTACGTAAAACAAAACATTAATTTATTTGCTGCTGAATTCTTCTGTTATTAATATTTTGTGTATATTTCTGGAATTATAAAATGAATTTATGAAATTAATATTTTTCGTCCACTCTCCCATAAGTCTTCATGACCTACTGCTTAATTAGGTAAGCACACACACAATTTTACCTTTACCTTAGTATTCTAGTTCTTAAATTGTACACCAATCAGCACATTGACTTGCAGATTGTACAATCTGATTGTCGAGAAAGGAGAGAGAGAAAAAAAAACCTTAATATTTTTCATGGAATTCTGAATTTGGGAGAGGTTTCTATATACGGCGGGAACGTGTTATTTATAACGTTTAATTGTCCAAAACTAGGCATGGGCTGTACGCGTTCAGGTTATGGGAGCAAGTGTGTCTCGTTGCTTTTCAATGGCTATTGTTATGTGAGCTTCGTGAGCAATGTAGCCAACGTTGAATTTATTAGTAATAGTTACCCAGAGAGGGGGGTAAGTCATTTCACACGTCAGGTGAGTACAATTTTTGGAAGATAGATGAAATGACCGGTCGGAATAGTTCAATCCGTACAGCAACAGGCTGTGGACCGGACGGCCGGGGTTTGATTTCCGATAGAGGCAAGATATCTTTCTCTTCTCCACAGAGTCCAGACCGAATCTAGGGCCCACCCAGTCACTTATCCAATGGGTACCGGAGGTTCTTTGCCTAGGGGTAAAGCTGTTGAGGCATGAACCCGAGGACTCACATTCGTCTAGTGCCGAGGGCTAGAATGGTGGGCTATACTTCCACTACCCATACGTTTTCGTGGCGTGTTGCTTAATTAATTAATTAAGCACGGGGACAACATTTCCTGTACCTGTTTCGCCTTAGAAGAAATTTCTTACTGAGCGTCACATAAAGACAAAAATGGCAGCAGAAGTTGGTTTTCTTTTTACATAAAAGAAGACGAGATGCAGGCTGGAAAATCTGCTTATTCGATAAGAAAGAGGTTCATCTGGAGATAAAACAAGGGTAGACCAGTGTATGACCTCATCGGGACTTGAACCCGCGACCTTCCGGCTTGTAGCATAGTGCCTCAACCAACTACGCTACCGCGTGCACAAGAGATAACTCAATATGAATCATAACTACATCCACCAAGAAACTGGGAAAATGAACAAGAATTCATATATTTCGAATGACAGTCTGTCGTGTTCAGAATATCTGTATTTTAGAACAAAATGTGTAGGAATACTGAAAACCTCTAACAGCTGTCTACCCACCGGTCTGTCTTTGTTGCCCTTGGTGACCAGGAATAACAGGAACCGTAGACCACTTACTCTTGGGCTGTCCCTCAGTCATAGCCTTCTGAAACCGTTTACCCAAGATACTCAGCGAATTACTAGGCCTCCACCCACTACAGAAGATACTCTACGGTCATTCCACTCTCTATAACACTCCCCAACAACCTACCCATTATCTTTTTATTGCTAGTGGGGTGGGACTTAGTCCCTTGTACTGCGGCCACTTCTGGCCTATTGTACCAGCCCCAGATGATAAGTGAGGGTGATTGTGGAGCAATTGGTGGAATGAAGATTGGCAGGGGAAACCGACGTACTCGGAGAAAACCTGCCCCAGCGCGACTTTGTCCACCACAAATCCCACTTGACCAGACACGGGATCGAAGCCGGGCGGCCGTGGTGGGAAGCCAGCGACTAACCGCTTGAGCTATGGCGCGGCAAACTTACCAGTTACCTGTTAATACTAGCCAAGGCCACCATCCCTAAAACATACGTAGCAACGAACGGCAATCACCGCCACACACCAGACTATCAGCGCATGTTCCACATGAGGTTACAATGCCGACTGTACCCTGAGTTGTCCTACAGCCTCTGGGAAAATGACATGGATACCTTCAGAGGCCACTGGTTGCACAGGAACATCCTAGGGAAGATGGACCATGGAAAGAGCATACTCAAAGGTCAGATTTGGATTCAGATGCATTCAGTCAGACTGTCTCTCGGATATAGTCCATAAATTTTCAATTTATGTTGGTGTTAATAAAATTATTACTAGAAAATCAGTCTATCTATCTTCGTAATTTATATGCTGTATCATGTGTTTGTGTTTAGCTGGCTGTTATCCATTATCCGCCTCCCTGTTAGACATCCCGCTATACAATGTGCTTCCTCGCCGTAACATATACACACGTCAGGCCCCAGCCTTACAAGAATACATCATGAAACAAGCATACTTTGTGTATCCTGCTATGTATGTACCGAATTTACATATTTACTTACGGAGCTGAGCCCTTCTTGATGAGCCGCCAATTCTGCAGCTATTCAAGAATTTCCCAGAATTTTATGGACCCGAAAGTTCATTACCGTGTTCACAAGAGCCCTCCACTGGTCCCTATCCTGATCCAGACTAATCCAATCCATTCCATCCCATCTCATCCCATCCCATCTCTCTAAGACCCATTTTAATACTGTTCACCCATCTATTCACACAGAATTTACATATCAACGTCAAAATGCACGAAGACGACATTCTTCGGTAATTCATCATTATCGTCGTCACCACCACCACCACCAGTTATGAAAAAAAGATGAATAATACAAATTTATTGTTGCAGCTTCAATCTCATACCACAGTTCCTAGTAACGTTAATCGTTTCATTAATACTCGTAGATGCTCAGTCAATACAGTAAAGAGACTTCAAAGAATAATGCAATTTTCAGAATCATGCGTGCCTGTACTTGCATGCAGTGATATTAAACACAAAGTGAAACTGAATGGTGAGGACAAATTTTGAGTACGAGTTCCACATACCAAAATAAGAAAAAAAGTCCATATCAACGTTTTTCCGAAAAAATTATATGAAGTGCTGAAAACACCCTCCATGAGATTCAGTGCACCCCTCGACACGTCTCATGCTCAGAATATTTCGGCCATAAACGCGAGTCCATCTTAAAACAAGGCGCAGTCCATCGTTTCTCGTGTGTAAGGGGGAAGAAAATAAATTACAAGAAAATATTTCGAATCAAGAAGAACAAATGCAGCGAGGAATGGAGGACAGAATTGTGTGATAAATGGGATGGATAATAACAAACATGTGCATGAATTTTCTGCTTATCTCCGCCGTACACTGATAAGTTCCTACGTCGTATTTCCCCCCCAAAAAATGCGAGTTCAATTGAACTTTTCGTGCTTTGTATTCGTTTCGTTAACGTTTTGAACTCCAATTTGATCGAACCGTTCGTTCTTTTCCTCAGTTCCCCATTAATTAACTTAGCCTTCCTCATATTCATATATACTGATCACATCTGTGTAGCAGTAATGTTCTAGACTTCAGTTCAGGAGATACTGGCTTAGAATCAACGCCGCGTTACCGACTGTGACGTTGTTTTCCTCGGCTTGCTGTGTTTGTTTCTTAGCATGCTTAAAGGAAGGTTTCTCGACTGTGACGTAACATTGAATGAAGGGTAATTTTTTTCCTTGGCACTACAGCCCCAGTGGGCCTAGGCCTACCTGCATGAACTTCTCCGTTCACTTCGGTTTTTCTAGATCTTACACATTCGGTAGGACTCCTTGGGCGGGTGATCAGCTCGTCGCAAGGCCTGTACCTCTACACAAACACAGAAAAACGCACACACACAAACTAAACATCCGTGCCCTGAGTGGGATTCGAACCCACGATCCCGGTTTCCAAGCGAGCGAAGACAGTACATGCCTTAGACCACTCGGCTACCGCGACCGGCGAATGGATGGTAATACTGAATAATAAATCTAGAAGGATGTGCAAGGAACCTATAGTGATAGATTATAAAGCACTATACTCGCATTTATCATGAGGAATTGGCGAAGAACAGAAAATGCGACCTATGGGAGTAGAACCAAAACCACTCACAATACGAAATATATATGCTAACCGCTTGACGGCGGCGATTATCGATGTTGTCTTCTATAGAAAGTAGACATTTCGACATATCGATAAACACATGTCCTCTTTAATTTGCTGGAAGTGTCATTGCCCTTTGACCTTCGAGTGACTCCAGTGACCCTCAGGCATACTTTTTCTTTGCGAAGGTGTTCGAGGATTCATATTCGTTCATATGATAGAAGTCTGCGTGTTAGAAGTGGCTATGGTCATATCTTGTCTGTTGGAAAATATTTGTTATTGCTAAAAATATTAATGCGTGCCACGTAACAGGAAATTACATTTGTGTACCATTTCTTTGCTGATAACATATCGAATTAACTCTTATCATTTCTCAATATTTACTTTTTCAGGAGTGCCCGTTAACAGACTTGTTGAACATTTTTATACTATTTCTATTATATAACCATTCGCGTTTATGTTTCGTGAGTTTGCCTGATGACAGCCATTTGTGGTGTTTATAAATGCGATGACAATATCATCACATTCATCATCCCGAAATGAATTCACAGACCTCACTATCTTCTTCTATCCTGCATGATGTTTCGTTGAGCCTTTTTCCGATAGCAAAGATCCAATGAAGCTTGTAGGTCGTGCAGTCTTCATGTACGGTGTTACTTCCCGGATATTAAGCATTGTCGTATTAGTGTCACCTCATTACACCACAACACAGCGCGCATGCGTCAGTGTCGATATCGTAGAGATCGGTAATATTACACCTGTTTGCAACCGGAATCCGACCATCATAAACAGTATCAATTTCGGATAATTCCGTTTAAAATAGAGCTCTAAATAATGAATACTNGAGGTAGGCCTAGGCCCACTGGGGCTGTAGTGCCAAGGAAAAAAAAATATATAGCATATACGCTATGATCCAATTGTCTAGACAGAGAGTAATGATGCACTCTTACGAGCAGTAGCCAGTTTCACCTTTCGTTTCAGTTTTCGTCCCTTCCTTTCTTCTTTCTGTCATTCGCCTCTGTTTAACCTAATTTTATTCCGAAGGAAAGAAACCAGGCTTATGACGTCACCATACTGCGTGTGTGTGTGTGTGTGTGTGTGTGCGTGTGTGTGTGT